GATATATATATATATATTAATTCTAGTTATGTGACTTCCCTCAAATTCAGGTTTTATATTTACAAGTAGTATTATCAACGTTTGGTCAGGCATATCTTGAAAAGTGAATGTAATGATAGCTGATTAATAAATTTAATTTACTTGAGAACTTTTTATTTTTTAATAATAGCTTAACCAAGTTACTATTTATACTAAACAATATTTAGGTACCGAAAAATAATAGAAACGTGAATACTATTGGCTCTTGATTTTCATTGCCGTAAAATATGATAAATTGTTGCACTCCGTAGTAAAATTTTTTTGTTAATACAATCCATCAAAACTTATTTCAATCGTACATACATCGGGTGCTCTAAGGAAAATGAGATAAGAGATTAATCTTATAAAGGCAAACATAAACCTTGTACTTAAAACAAAATTCACTGATTTTTAATTGACATACATTCGAAAAGTATGCAAGCGATTGAAATTTGATAAAAAAACGTTTTGTCGTAAAGTTCTTCTAGAAAATAAATTTTCGAGAAATTTTACATCATTGGATGAATAGAACATAAAAACACATTTTTTAATAACAATTAATAAAAGTATTTCGTTGATATCTCCTAGCTCAACTAAATTAATAAACGAGTAACGTCAATAGTGATTTTTCGTTTGATCAACAGTTGATACACACAGAATCCGACAAAACAAAAACCAGCAAACTAATAAAGAACTTAGTAACTACAAATAATAAACCAGAAATGATAAACAAGCCCCCATCTTTGATTCTCTGTTGCAGCCACACAAATCAAGCGACCAGTTACTGCAGCTTCAGAGCGCGATCATCGACGCGACCGGCTACTACATGTGCGAAGTGAACACCGACAGTCCTGTGTTTAAGGTCGTGAAGGCCATAGCTTACATGGAGGTCATAGGTAAGCTCTACCCATGAACAGCACTTATGTTTTCCGAAAACCTCATTGGCCTAATTGTTGATCAGTAGTATGCACCATAAAGCAATAGGTAAATTTATTGAACCATCCTAATTCTATATTGAATATGGCAAACACCTGGCCTCAGGCACGATATTCATTTCCGTAATTAACTTTGATCAATTTGTAGCGAAATCAATACATCTTCTCCTAATTCGATGTATCATCTCGGAGTAAACTGTAATTAAATTAATTAGTGTACGTGGGGATACAAAACCTCTATCAGTTTCTCCATTCACTCAATATAGACTTTGTCTTACCAAAACAACAAATATTTATCCCTCCTCACAAACTCTCAGGTAAATCTATTTATACCACATTGTTGTTTTGTCAAAAGTTTTGCAGTGTTACCGAGAAGAAAAAAAAAAACAGAAACGTTTCCTCATTTAATAAACTTTGTAGCTTTCAAAAGTTACAAAGAGGAAGAGAACCGATGGGTTACAAGTCTTGAGAAAATATCAGTAACCGCAGTATTGCCAGTATTTGATGCTCTCGGAGATTGAAGTACCATCCGTTGACCAATAAAAGCGTGCTTATGCTAAGCTTTTGAGCGTCTGAGCAGACGTGGACCTCCATCACTTGGTGTTTTCCCTGCTCTTTTGAATCTTTCTCATAAAAACTGCAATTTCCTCTTAAAAGAGGCATACATATATTTTTTTTTGCCACGTAATAAACTTTTTTCTTGATTTTTATCCACTTTCAAAAGTGCCGAATAAATCTCTAATTATTTCTACCACGCAATTTGCACCAGTTAAAGGTAATAAAAAAAAAAATAAGGAACAGCGTTCAAAATAATTTTCATCTCACCCCTCTTGCGAGGGTTCTTGCAAGTCCTGCCAATGAGAACCTTTATTTCGTGAATTTTTTCTTCCCTCCCTTGCACGTCGTTAAGACGACGGTCCTTACGACTCAAGTTTGAGGAGAAAAAAAGCCAGAAATAAGGCGACTGCAAAACGATTTACTCGGTATAAATAACGCAAAACAGCGCAATTCTCGCTTACATTAGGGCAACCAGTAATTAAATGCTCGAGTCGTAGTAATTAAACGACGTATAATTCTTGGCCACCACTACCACCGTATTTAAACAAGCAATGTAATAATTATTCAGTGTTTGAGCAGCTTGTATATTAATTAAGTGTTTTTCCTTCTCTAAGTTTGCTTCCATTTTTAATCGCCTATTTAAGGACCAAAAAATTAAAAAAATATCAAGGAAGTAGTATAAAAAATAAGTCGTTTGTGTGACAAATTCACATATATTTTGTGTTTCGTACGTGCAGTGTTACGTAAGACGAGATGAAAACCAAGAAATCTTTTCCACGTAAATTTTTTTTCATAAAGTCTTTTTGCTGTTGCATAGCTGCAGTTATTAAATACACGTATGAATAAGACTTATAACTTTTGCAAAGGCAAAAGAAGAAGACTATAAAATCCAGACAATGAAAGTTACGTGGGCTGGATGGGAGTGAGAAAAATTTTCTAAATTTTTACGCCATCTCGCACTGTTTTGCAGTGTTGAATGAATCCTAAATTACGCCATGTAGAATGCAGGTTTCTAAGTTTGATTTATTCTCTGCTACCATACCTTCAAAAAAGGAAAATGCAAATTCCAATTGGGCTGTCATAAAAAATTTGCATCAGTAAAAAAAAAAAAAAAAAGAAAAAAAAGAAAGTAAGTCAAGAGCTGGTAACAAACAAGAATAGTCGTCATCAGTGATGTACCTTGCCAACGTTGACTTTCCGGCGGTGATTACGTGCATTTAAAGAGTCTGAAGTGAAAATTTTTCTGTTCGCAGATCCGCCTCGGGAGGGTCCGAAGATTACCGGTGAAGAGGAGATTTACGCCAGTGGGGATATTATGGCGCTGAACTGCACCAGCGCCTTCTCGTATCCAACGGCTCGGTTGCAGTGGTTCATCAACGAAATCGAGGTAAGTTGCGGCGTGTCATTTCTGTGTCGTTTTCGAAGGGCTCTCACATTTTCCCTCAAATTTTTTTTATCTTTTGCCTTTGCACCCCAGTTTTTTTTTTTTAATCCTGTACCTATTTTTTAACGTTATTGTTTTACATTATTCGGAGAATATTTCACGCCAAGATACTTGATCTACTTTTAAGAAGAAAACCGATACGGGCAACGAAAATTTTGATCATGTTTTGAAATATTTACCAGTTAACGAGCGGACTGTGCATTCAATATTCAAGAAATATTAAATACTTAAAATTTCCAACCCTATTAGTGGTAAAAAATTGGGATGATTAATCACTTAATTGATAAAATAAATAAGATATTAAGAATGAGGAAGGCAACTACGTAGTTTGTAGATACATCCAAAATTGTACTTTAATATGATTTTTGAATTGTCAAATATTAAGTGATAATTAAGATGACATTAAAATCAAGTTGATCGTAATAAATAATTAAGGACAATTCTTCAAAGATGATAACTTACTTTAGCAGTTTTACCAATATTGCAATGAGCTTTCATATTTAAAATTCCATACATATGCACACTAAAAAATAAATAAATAACCAGAAAAAATAAATAAATACAATTGTAATGAAAATCAAGCATTTAAAAATTATAATAATTAACGCTGTAATTCAGATCACTGCGAAACAATTTTATTTCATAAATAGGCAATGCGATATAGAAGCTATACCTACACGTTTTGCACTACATGGGGCACAGCGACATTAATTATTACTTTTTAAGCTGGGCAAAAGACACTGGCTTCGCGAACGGTACGGATTTTACGGAAAGGTTTGCCAGGATCTGCTTAATCCGAGCGACCCTTGGCTCAATCAAGTCAAATTCGCCACTTTTTTTGTACTTACCTTCATTATCCGCATAGTAGCTCTCGTGTACTCAAACGAAGAGGTAAGTGGTGACTTGTTTGATGAAGGGAAAGCTTAAATGCGGTTAGAGAGCCGAGAGATTAGATAAAGCTCCTCTCCTTTTGATCATTAATCACACCGATACCTTTACTATGATTATACATGTGAACGTGAGGGATTAATTTATGATGACAAGCAACAGTAAATAAAAGTTGAAACTAATAAATAAAGAAATATCAAATTTTTGTTTAATTGTAAAGTAAAAACATAAACATACGGAAGTTTGATCTATTAGTTTTATTATGAGGTATAATTATATATTTATGTAGCCGATACTTTTGTCTCCTTCAACTGCATATTTTATTTTCGTAGCAAACAGGTACAAGATAGTTACCTTTTTTTCCCTCTCCAACCTTTACGTGAATCAGAGCCCTTGAAATTCCCTCGTCACCTTTTCCCTTTACAAACGTTTCCGTAAGTCCCTGACTTTTCTGAGCTGCAAATAAAAACTCATATTACCTCAAACTGTCGACACGCTGTTCTGTACAAGTCAATTTTTCGATTTAGTCTCCGATCGACAAAAAAGTCAGGGTATGTGATAAGACATTTCACTAAGTAATAAGAATTCGAGGTAAGAGTGATGGCACTGAAACGACTTTTCATAAAAACTTTTCAGATGGAAACCAAGAAAAGGAGAACCTAGTCCCAAAGTGATGAAATCAGGAGTGTCCTCTTCTTTTTGCTCTCTACGAGCTTCAAAGATGATCTAATCTCGACTTCTATTCTGGTATCATTTATCTCGAAGAGTAGAGGTGCCGCAGTAAGCGAAGAGTCACAAAGTCAAGCCCTGTACCCCTTTATCAAGGGCTTACCAGCTCAAATCCAGATTAATATAAATCCCAGCGATTCTGCCCTCCCCCCCCCCTAACTAACACAAACTTCCTTTACCGAACCGCTTATCTACTCCAGCTTTATCTCTCTTTTCCTCCGGGCAAATTGAGTGGACTTTAGTAGTTCCATGGTTGAGCTGTCGCATTTTCGAGTGTACGAATGTCGACAAAGGCATAGCAAATAAATCCCAGATGAGATTCCTCGCATCAGTGGGAAAAGCACGTCCATTCTCCATATGCTTTTTGTAGCAGATATTTGCCTCTGACGGTGGACAGGGCGCGTCCTTTCAATACTATTTTGGATGATGATGCCTCGGTTGTTCCTAAAAAAAAGGTGCCTCGGCCAAGCCTCTGATTTTTCAAAGGGATTACATTGCTTTGTCAAGTTTCACCAGTTGAAAAATTGCGAGGTTGGAGGAGTAAAATAAAACATCTTAGTTTTGGATAAAATATTTCGCGTACCCCTCATTTTTTTCATAAAGTAGAGCGTGCCTGATTACCATTTTCTTTTAAAATACGTGCTCGTTGCAGTGCGAGCATGATTTGCGGAGGTACTTCAATTAAATTGTTAAACTAGAGTTACCACGAGTAGAGTCACCCACAATTCATGCCATTCGTGAAGCTGAGAGCATTAGCATATCTATTATATCCAACCGTGCAATGTACAGAAATACGAGTCGGTCGCGATCGTTTGCATTCGCACCTAGATTACAATTCATTCTCTCGAGAAAAATTGATTAGCAACGATTTTCTCTTTAAAATAGCGGATGTGAGGTGGTGTTGCCCGTATCCCCGGACAAAAATATAATTATGCGCCCGTCGGGCTCGAATTATCGCGACGATTATTGGATTTGCCGCTCCGCACTGGGCCCCCGGGGAACTTTTTTTTTCCACCGCATTGCAACGCTTTCCACAATTTTGTCCCTCAACCTAACTTTGTACAGTACATTTATTTTGAGCGACACATTTTTTGGCTTCCAAAGCGATTTCCGCTTTTTGTTTCGCAGGTTCCTCCAGCCTCGGAAGTGTTGCATTCGACGTATCATGGCCTTCACAGTACGCGTTCGAGTCTCCGGTTGGAGCTCAAACCAAGGCATTTGACTCACGACAGGATAAAAATCACGTAAGAGTAGGAATAATAATATTCCAAAAATCACATACTTTTCAATCAGACTTTGCATGTAAAAGAATTTTTTTTTCTTTCTTTTCTGTGCAGATGTGTGCAGACGGTGCGTACGTCACCACAAGCTACCATACCTTTTTTGGATGTCAGGGAAACTCAAATTTTCGGTAATGATAAATTATTACTGTTGATAAATTAATGTACTAGCTGGTTTATTTTTTTAATTACTTAGGTGTTAATGACAATTCAAACAACGTTATGTGCATTTTTTATGCATAAATGCTTCATTTACACAACATTTATCGGTTCACTCTTGTCCTTCTGATAATATTCCGGTACAATAACATTATCAATGACAAAGTGCCCTACAATTTTGCTTTTCTTATGGTTATTTGTTACCATAAAATAAGCTGCCCATGCAATCAGTCGATCTCAAATGCTACACTAGGAGTATGCAAAATAATCTATCAAGTTATGCCCAGTAATCACCGACTATCGGTAACCAGCACGTTAGGTCTCGTTACCTAAATCATATTTTTCACGTAATTGCGCTTTGCTTAACTCATACGTTTTTGACTTTGGCCACTGTACGCCCAAAGCTTGCAGTATTCATGATGAAGATACTACGGCTACTGCTTTCTACTGGCAACCTATTATTGGTGGTCAAGTTCGAGGTCAAGTTGCTTTGCAAAGAAACGGTCATTGACACAGCATTATGATACGTGGCTCTCAGAAGTTCAAGCATATATGAAGAAGTATATATTTTTTCGAGATTATCCTAAATTAAAAAATAAAAAACCAATTTTTCCAATTTAATTAAATCATACTACTACAAACAAATTTTAGCTCTGCATATAAAAAATGTTTTGGATGTATTACATACGTTATTTAAAGAATACCAAACAAATGTTTCTTATTTTAAAACATAGGAAAAATCTGAAGAAACATTACGAAAGTTATTAAAGCTTTTTCGTGCTCTATACATCAGTTTCTACAAGAAAAAAGAAAAATTTTCGTTNGCTAACTGTCACTAAAAAATTTATACAATTGCATATAATTTTCTATTTAATTGCACTAAAAATAAAGAATAAATATATCAACCATGAGTCAATTTTTTATTTTCAAAATGCTATGAAAAATAAAAAAATCTAAAAAAATTTGTTGAAAAAACCTATGTAGCAACATTGAAAAGAAAAATGTTCTAAGCACACGTGTAAGTACGTAAATAAGCGAAAAAAAAATTTATCGATCGTTATGGTATCATTGAATGAAATATCTATTATACGTGTCTTATGTACACGCATGCACTTATGAAATTGAAGCGTTAAAGTCAACAAAAAAAAATTGCTGAGGGAGTAAAAAAATACGAACATTTTTGCGTATAGTGCAAAAATAGAGTGTAAACAATGACTTGCGATAGTGATGCATAAAAAAACGTTTAGGTCGATGTGTAAATATATATGAAAATGTAAGCACAGCAGAAAATTAATACATGATAAAAAAGTAATTCAAACTATAAGTAAATATCGAAAGGGTTGCGGCGTGCCTATACCTGTCGGTAATCACGACGGTCTTTCGTTTCGATCGAATCTCACGTGTCTTCTTATACATATAAACACGGCGTCGATTGCCGAAAATGCATTGTTGTCATCTACATAGCTGTAAGTGTAAAAAGCAAGGAAATGAAAATTAGTAAAAATAATAATAGTTAGGAATTGTTGACTGGGTAAAAGAGCATTTCCCCATGTGTAAAAGTACGATATGCCTGAAAGTAAAATAATAAATTTAAAAAGTTTTTATCAGTCGTTCAGATTATTTGTATTTGTCAAGTTAAGTAAGTGTATTATCATCCATCAAAGTAAATAAGTTTATTTTGCTCATCAAAGATCCTTAATTTCCGAATCACATCCCTTATAATACCTTTGCCACATATAAAACAAAAAGGCATTACCATATGAACATGTACATGACTATCATAAATCGTATGAATTTCGAAAAAAAAATACGCGTTAATTTTTTCTGAGATGTAAATATTTATAGTATTACTTTTTTATAGAATCCGCTTTTTGTTTCGCAGGTTCCTCCAGCCTCGGAAGTGTTGCATTCGACGTATCATGGCCTTCACAGTACGCGTTCGAGTCTCCGGTTGGAGCTCAAACCAAGGCATTTGACTCACGACAGGATAAAAATCACGTAAGAGTAGGAATAATAATATTCCAAAAATCACATACTTTTCAATCAGACTTTGCATGTAAAAGAATTTTTTTTTCTTTCTTTTCTGTGCAGATGTGTGCAGACGGTGCGTACGTCACCACAAGCTACCATACCTTTTTTGGATGTCAGGGAAACTCAAATTTTCGGTAATGATAAATTATTACTGTTGATAAATTAATGTACTAGCTGGTTTATTTTTTTAATTACTTAGGTGTTAATGACAATTCAAACAACGTTATGTGCATTTTTTATGCATAAATGCTTCATTTACACAACATTTATCGGTTCACTCTTGTCCTTCTGATAATATTCCGGTACAATAACATTATCAATGACAAAGTGCCCTACAATTTTGCTTTTCTTATGGTTATTTGTTACCATAAAATAAGCTGCCCATGCAATCAGTCGATCTCAAATGCTACACTAGGAGTATGCAAAATAATCTATCAAGTTATGCCCAGTAATCACCGACTATCGGTAACCAGCACGTTAGGTCTCGTTACCTAAATCATATTTTTCACGTAATTGCGCTTTGCTTAACTCATACGTTTTTGACTTTGGCCACTGTACGCCCAAAGCTTGCAGTATTCATGATGAAGATACTACGGCTACTGCTTTCTACTGGCAACCTATTATTGGTGGTCAAGTTCGAGGTCAAGTTGCTTTGCAAAGAAACGGTCATTGACACAGCATTATGATACGTGGCTCTCAGAAGTTCAAGCATATATGAAGAAGTATATATTTTTTCGAGATTATCCTAAATTAAAAAATAAAAAACCAATTTTTCCAATTTAATTAAATCATACTACTACAAACAAATTTTAGCTCTGCATATAAAAAATGTTTTGGATGTATTACATACGTTATTTAAAGAATACCAAACAAATGTTTCTTATTTTAAAACATAGGAAAAATCTGAAGAAACATTACGAAAGTTATTAAAGCTTTTTCGTGCTCTATACATCAGTTTCTACAAGAAAAAAGAAAAATTTTCGTTAAATAGAAATTAATAAACCATCGCGAAGACAAAAGTTAGTAAATTAATTCTTTTACAAAATCCAAATAGCATGCTAGCATTCAATATTTAAGTGTTTAGTTGTTGAAAAACTCGGATCATCGGCAGAACCAAGCGCTTGTAGTCCATGTCAAATGAGCAGATGCACGAAGCAATGGGCAACTATTGCACAAACTTGAAATTACGAACTAACGATCGACTGTTTGTGCAACGACAAATGCGCAAAATGAGCCTCTACGACAACCAATGGCATTTGTGGGATGAATATAGAGCCATCATACCAAAATACATAACTATGCTCTATGCGTACCAATGGCTTCATCAAAAAGGCCAAATGTGCATGCACCTGTTTGCGTATTATCGATTTGCTTTACCCTACAAAGAGATTCCCATGGTATATGGGGACAAACGCAACAAACGGGGCTCATTCGAAACAGGCGCGCATCACATGCAAGGACATGCACCTGAATCATTTCGCACGAGTCATTTGCCATGTATTGACGAAGCCCAGATAGGGTACAGCTGTACTGCGATTGGTCGATTATTAACGATCCAGAGGTACAGTATGGGAATGGTGTGGCAGCGATGCGGCACCGAATGTCCAGTGGGAAACGCCACTACGGAGCCATTCGGTCAATCCATTGTTGAGACGCTAGGCCTACTCCTAACGCTCCTTGTGTCCTCCTCTACGCTCGTATGATTTCTGGTTTTCGACATACTAATACGTGTAGTGGGCTTACAGATACCTGGAATAATCAACCTTCATCCACGTAAGCTTTGATCTATTGGTTGTCGTACGCCATACACCAAGGAATTCACGATTTATCGCATTGTTATACTATCGCACACATCACATTGCCAAAATTGTCTTTGATTGCACATTAATTGATTGTCCAATTAACATCCGATTATCATGTATGAATGTAAAGAATCCAGGGGTAAGAAACGGTACAAGTGAAAAAAATAGTGAATGAAAAATATATATACATATGAAGAGACAGTTGATAAGCATGATGAGATACATAGATAGTAAAAATTCGAGGTATGCAAGCTCTTCTGAATGTTTAAAGGAGAGAGCGAGAAACGTTAGCTTAAACCGTACAAGTAAAAGAAAGAATGAGGAGTAGAGAAAAGACGGATAGGTGATCAGATGCCAGAAAAGCCATGGGGCAACTTGGACAAACTGCTCTTAACAATCTTCGATTTTCTCGTCAAAAAAAATCGTTTGTGGAACGCCTCTTGCATCTACCATTTTCTACCTCTTTTTAAGTTGCCTTACCCCATTCTACATCGCTTCTTGGTTGAAGATATTTTCCTACAACTCCACGTTACTCTCCTTCGGCTTTTTTCGTCGTTGTTGGCTCGCTTTGACTATACGTTACACTTCACAACCTGATCGTCTTTTGCTACTACAGAGTGAACAACAGTACAAATAACTCTAGCCAACGTACTTATTGTACCACTTGTCATAAAACATACCTGTATTTTATTTTGTGCATTATGTATTTTTTGCGTATCTTGATAATATTCATTAATATATCTTGTTGATCTGTATTACTTTCATTTAGGTACAAGCAGAAAACATTACAATTTTTCGTAAGAAAAAAAAAGGTACAACATAAGCTTTCGGAATGGTTACTAATGGTCTTGAAAAAAGTGGTCAGTATTCATATACTCGACGAGCGATACTCAAGTGCCAGCTGAAAAAAAAACAGAGAATAAAGATCCACTTAATGTGACGTATATTCCTCCCATTTTATTACCTCCATTATTTTTGTTACTTTACTCAAATAATGGCATACATGCGTTGTATCTCGTTGGTACAATTACTCCTTAGATTTGTGGTGTTGAGAAAAATTTTTTTTTATTTCCTAACAAATTAGATTTACCATGATAAAAAACTACATACATAAGACACATTATCCACTTGGACGAGCCATGAATAATAAAAAAAATGTATTATGCCATCAAATGTTTACTAAAGTAACAAAGTACAGTCTTACGATGAAGATAAATTTTAAAAATTAAGAAACAAATTAAATAATGCCGAGAATCAAAAACAATCATTCTGACATAGAAACAATAGTTTTGTCTGTATAAAGACAATAAAAAACTGGGCACAGACCCTAAGGAGACGTGGACAAATGCAGCTTGACGAATGACGATTCCAGTGAGTACACGTAGGAGAGTATGATTAAAGGAGTAGGCGGGGAAATGAGCGAAAGAGAGGGTAGGTGCGCTGTTCCCTTGTTACTTTGATTCTCAAAGGGTAGGAGGAGACCCTCATCTGTTTCCCGGACCAAGTGGCACTGCTTGATACCGACATTACTCAGGGACCACTTGCTTCCTCCGTCTCTGTCTCCCTTCCACCTGTTCTTTCCATGACATAGAAATTCCTGTACAGCTACACTTGATAACTTACCTCCATATGTTACATTTCTGTACATTTACATGTTTCTACGTTTGAAGACATCAAA